CAATGTGTAAACTCCAGGAAAATAAAGAGAAAATTTGAATTTAAAAATACTAATCAATTGAAATGGCAGGAGAAGGGAAAAACAAATTCCAGGTTTATATGTTATAACAGACAAGGAATTAAAATACAGGCAAGTTGGAGTCAAGGCATGGGGAACAGATATACCAGGCAAAACCAATCAAAATAAACCTAGTATGGCTATTTAGTAACAGACAAATAGGCTTTATGCCCTAAAACATTCTTAGTGATAAAGATTTACCATGAAGATATATATATATATATTTTTTTTTTTCTTTTTATCTGTGTGTACATGTATGTACATATCTGAGATGCTATTATGGTCACTTAATGGCATAAGCTCCCCATATGCACATCAAAAATTGAGACTCACAGAGAAAAAATAAGATTCACAAACAAAAAATAACACCAACCCAGTGGAAAAAGAGAGGTTACAAACAAACAGTTCAAATAAAAGAGCAGCAAAGAGGCACACAGTTATTTAGCATCTACCAAATTGATAATTCCATGTAAAAGCCCAATTTCATAATCGATTTAAAAATATAAATTTAGCCATAATGTTTCCCACCCTTCAGTCTTCATCTTTACTAATAAATTAAATATATGCCTTATTTTAAAATGCAATGTATATTTACTTTTATAATTTCTGTTTTTAATATGGAAACTACAGATTTTATATTCTCTTCCTGTTTAGCAATTTTGATTTTGTTATGGTACTTTCCTTTCGTTTTTAACTGTACCTTATGTACCTTGTCTTCTTGTTTTCTAATATTCTGACTTCTTGATACCTTGATATTTTCCTGATGCTAGGCAGTATTTTGTTAATGTTAGAGTCAGGTTACCTGCCTTAGACATAATGGGTATTTCCTGTAGATTGTGCTATTTTAAAAAAAAAAAAAATTATAGTTAAAAAAAGAGAAAACATTTTGAATGTTTATTGGCCTTAAATATTTGATAAAATATACACATTTTTGAGAAAATATAACTTATCAAAGCCGAATCAACAAAAACAAAACTCTTAGTATCTTTGTAACCTTTAAGTAAATCAAATCAATAGAAATATAGCTTTCAAAATACCACCAGGTCCAGAAGCAAGCAAGTTCTATCAAATATTCCAAAAGGAAATTATTTCAGTCAGTCTTATAAAAACTCTCCCAGAGAACAGAAAATTAGAGAATGCTTCTCAATTTATTTAATGAAATCTGTATTACTTTGATTCCAAAACAAGATAGAAAAGTCTTATCTACAGAATTTTGTAGCTAAACTACAAAATTACAGACTAAAAGTCAAAATCATTAACAAAATACTGGAAGCTGTATCCAACCATGTAATACAAATAAATCTCGTTACTTGATAGCCCAGATAATCCAGGGGGTAGACAGTGAGGGTTTTCAATGGTGCCTGGGCTATGTGGAGTGGAGAGGCCAAGTGAGTAGAGCTCAGACATTCCAAAGTCCCTTCTGTGTGTTTTCTCTCAGACCACCTTCATGATGGGTTTCCTCCCTCTCACTTTAAAGTTGAGAAAACCGAGACCCAGCCTTGGGAAATGATCTTCCCAAATTAGAGAACTAGTATGTAGTAGAGCTGGGATTCAAATTTCAGCCTTCTGATTCCATGTTTGGTTGCTTCCTTTACATAGCCACATACTAGTAAAGGTTGAATAGCCAGTTCCTCTAGGAAAAGTGCCCTCACTTGTAGCATTTGCTGATTTCTGTAGTATGAATGCTCTCATAGCTGACTTCAGGTTACCATATGATGTCACTGAACACAGAGTTGAGAAGAGATGCACAGAGTTGGCTCCAGGAGCCAGGGCACACTGGCTCCGGCACAGCACTGCCTGTCAGACTTAGTCCTGGTGCCTTTACAGTCTTTATTGATTCATTCTTGCTTGTTCACTGGAGATGGCTGACTTGCTTCTTTAGCAAGTAATAACCCACAGGCATCATTTATTTCATAGATACTTATCAATTATCTATAATATGTCAGTCATTTTTTTAGAACTAAGAGCAGTAAAAACAAAAACAAAAGCAAAATCTTGCCCTTGGGGGCGCATACTTTGTATTGTAGAGAGAAACAGAAACTAAAATAAAAAGTAAATTACATAATATATCAGAAGGAGATAATTGCTATGGAGAAAATCAAGTGAGAAAGTGGGATAAGAGTGACTGAATACTGTGCTTCGATTTTAACAAGCAGGGAAAGTCTTATTGGGAAGGTAATAAAGAACCCAGGCATGTGGGTATCCGATGAGGGGCCTTCTAGGCAGAAAGTGGAGCAGATGCAAAGACCTTGGGCATTATTGTACCCTGATGTATTCAGTGACAGCAAGGAAGACAAGCATGGCCAGTGAAGAGTGAGTGCTGCCAAGAATAAATAGGAGATGAAGTCACAGAGGCAATGGACACATGTGTCACCTTGGGCTCTGAGGCAATTGAAGGTCTTCAGATTTTATTTGGAATTTCCATGTAAATTCTTCTTTATCAGTTTTTTGCTTATATACCACATGTCATTTCAATATACAGTTTATTCCTTCCTTCCTTTGGGGAAAAGTTTTCTGTAAACTTATTTCTGTTCCATTAGTACAGTTCCATAATTAAAGGAAACCAATTATTCCTATGTTGTATCATTTCTGCCTTCCATCTTTTTCATCGACTCTATGATTATTTCTTGTCTCTTTTTTTTCTGAATCCAGAGTAATTATCTCAAGGATTTTCTCTTTGCCATTATTACATTCCTTTTCCTTTATGGTTAACTTGGTAACTCTGTAATGTTTTGTCTGGTTCTCAATATTATCTCTTTATTTCACTTTCCATGTTAACATTATTCTCCCTTTTTTAAAAAAATTCATAGGCCTGTTTTATTGAATGAATCTTATTCAATTTTTTCTTTTGACACTAGTGGGAAATCTGCTTCTTTTTCTTGGTCTGTGTTTTCTTTCAAACTGAGTCCATTTTGTTATGCCTGCTGCATCTTTTTTTCCTTCCCTTCATCCTTCCTTCCTTTCTCCCCTTTTTCCCATTTAAAACATTTTGCTTTAATACATTTGCATATCTGTCATGACTTTTTTTTCACCTTGCTTATGCAAAATATGCAGAACTTATGAGCTCTAATATGGTATAAGTGAATTATCTTCCATTTCCTTCTCTTCTTATATGGGATTGATTTGTCTTTTCCTACTCAAGCTATAATTTGAGGTCTAGGAGCTGCTGTCTGTTTACTTTTTTTAAGTTTCAGTGTACAAATTGGTGAGTGTAAGGGCCTAGTTGGTTGACTCATCAAAAGGGACATGAACTCTGATTTCCTTTCCAAAATTCCATTAAAAATCCTGCACAGGGACTCATTCCACCCACCATGGATGTAGACTCCTTCCATTCTCCCAGTTCAGCAAGGGACCAGAAAACTGCAAACCCTCACTGTCCTCTCTGCCTTTGCTCTGGTCTTATAGTGACATGTAGGTGTTTCATACTTGAATATTTTTCTAATTTCCCAATATTTCCTACTCATTTCATTGACTCACATCTCTCCACATTAAAGAATAGTGATACATATTCATAAGATTTTATTAATTATCATTCTTTCATTGGTATTGCTTCTGGCTGATGATCTCACTATTGCTTAAACCCACGTAGAAACATTTTGAGATTTTTCCTTGGCTTCACCTTTAGAAATATTTGTCATAAAATTCAGTATTTTTCCTGGTTTGATTGCTACTAGTAAATTTTTGGCTGCTTTTTTTTTTGGTTAACTTTTTAAATTTTATTTTGTTAAATATTGGAAAAATGTGTGTGACCCTGAATTACTTGCTGCCTTTAACCAGATATTTATTACCTTTTACTGAAAGTATTTAGACAAGAAATTATAATATTATTCTATATAATAACTGCTGTATGTATCACCAGATAACCAGTGATTATTAGAGATGGTGGCTGCACAATTACTTTTATTACCAGTATAGAAGAATTTGAGAGATAAGTAATAAAGGCATTACCCCAAGTGCCTTGCATTCATAAGATAAATACATTCTGGGACTCTAATGTACAGTATGGTGACTATACTTAATAATGCTATAGTGTATATTTGACATTTGTTAGAGACTAGATCTTCTGTTCTCACTACAAAATAAAAAAGGTTATTATGTGACATGATTGATGTGTTCATTAACTTGATTGTGGTAAATATTTCATAATGTATATGCATATAAAATCATCATGTTGTACACCCTAAATATGTACATTTTTGTCAATTATACCTCAATAAAGCTGCTTTAAAAAAAAAAAAAAAGGAATAGTATTTGCCCACAGATCTTTCTTTTTTCTTCATGTTTGAGAAGAATCTGTTGTGCTCAGGACTGGGAATGTGGATATACTGGGCCCTATAATTGACAAAAGGGATAGATAACTGCTCAGCAACAGCTCCCCTTTCTCCTCCCCCTCAATCACAGTATTTCAAAACAGTCCAAAGGACATTTCTCATTACAATGTCCCTCCTCATTTCCAAGTAGTGTAATAATACAGCAGATATTGCCTATCTATCTAAGCTAGCTGATGGCCTCTAAGGCTCATGGTCTAGTGTATTGGTCTGCTCAACTTCTCAGCAATTTCTCTTAACAGCTTATGAGAAAGGACAAAGAAAATAAGACTGTGTAACTAGGCTGCACCATGGAAAAGGAACTGTTTATTGAATTCAACTTATTAAATAAATTTTCTCAATATTACTACAAAACTTTGAGGGCTTTTCCATGGGGTGTGGAGTGAATCTCCATTTGTCAGCCTTCCTGGTTTTAATAAGTGGCCTCTAGGTGTCTGGTTCTGAGCACATTCATCTTGAATATGAGTCAATTAAACTTACATTGTTTGGTGATTGGTGAATATCTATTTAGTACTCTTGGCATTATTAGGCATCTTTCTGAAATGAGAGTTGCAAAATGGGCAATTTCCTAATCGGAAACATACTGCAATAACTCCAGTTCTCCTATCATTTCAGGTCATATGCTAAATGACAGGGCTGAGACCTCTCCACAGCACATCTGATATTGGGATCGATGAAGATCAGATGTGCAAATCACAATGGGCTCCGGAAAGCCCTAGACTGTGTCATTCAAGGTAGGAGGATTTGCTTCTCTGGTAAGCTGTGGAAATATCCTCTGTGGATTAAGACCTTTCGTTTCTCTTAAAGGATGAATGGATATTATATGTCCCAAGGATTCAATAAAACCTTTATAGCCTTAGTATAGCAGAGTGTCCGTCAGCCAATTCTGTGATTTTACTGTGTTTGTCTTTTGCAAAAATCCATGTGAAACCTCAAATGTTCCTTTTACAAGTTCTTTTGTTACACACACATGTTTTTGGTTAAATTAGTGGTGGTTCAATCTGGAAAAGATATCTGTAATTAGAGTCTTATTTTTGAAGTTTAAAAGGGGTGGGGGGAAGCACATATTCTATCAACTTTTCCTCACAGAAAAACTTACTCTATCTTCAAAAGCTGTGACCCAACACAGCAGTTTCTAGGATCCTCCAGAAGGAAAATTTTCACTTACTGCCATATTGTCAGAAAAACAGGAGGCTTCTAAAAGTTTTAAAGGGTTTTCTTTCTCTCCTCAAAACTCAAGTACGTGCTTGTTAAATAATAATTCATGTAATTTGTAAAGTGTGTTAGCTTTCAAAACCCACATGTTATTAAATCTGATCCTCAAACCAGTAGTTTCACTTATGTAGGACAGGTATTATTATCATCATCATCATCATCATCATCATTTTTTTAAATAGAGAGGAGTAGAAAATGCATGTGCCCTGACTTTTGTTGAACTAAAAGAGATAAGGTGAAAACCTCCTAATGTAGAAAACTAATTCCTATTTCTTTTTCTTGTGGATCCAAGCATCAAAAGATATAATATGACAATGTCTCAACAGGCAGATGGCAGAAATATCACAACTTTAGCATTCCCTGAAATACTACCGGACTACAGAATCACACAGTCCACATAAAGAATCAGGCTACTTTACAGGCTGTGCCACATTCTTAGCAACTGAGAAGGAAGATGCTAGAAAAGGGGAACGCAGGGGTGAATTCTTTTTCTACTTTAAACAAGTCTTGCCACAGCTTTTTCTCCAATTCCCAACATAACCATTCTGCCACTACTTCCCTAATACCATAGCTTGCCTAAGATGGATGAAGCAGAAAATGGGTATCTTATGTCTTAAGCAAAGGAAAAGAGTATTATTCTCTCTGTTCTCTATGTCTCTGTTTTCTATGTCTTTATCTGTAGCAGGCTCTTTCATGCCCTTTACATTTAATTCTTCAGTGGCAAAATAATACATAATAAAAAACTAAATATACCCATAACATTTTATTCTATGATCACATTTATAAAACTTAAACACATTTGAAAACATTGAAACTACTTTTTAAAAACATATGCAAGGTTGGCATCTGTTTGTCATTTTTATAAAACATTAAACCAAATTTTTTTTTTTTTTTTTTTTTTTGAGACAGAGTCTCGCTCTGTCACCCAGGGGAGTGCAGTGGCAGGATCTCAGCTCACTGCAAGCTCTGCCTCCCGGGTTTATGCCATTCTCCTGCCTCAGCCTCCCCGAGTAGCTGGGACTACAGGTGCCCACCGCCTCACCTGGCTAGTTTTTGTATTTTTTTAGTACACCAGGTTAGCCAGGATGGTCTTGATCTCTTGACCTCGTGATCCGCCCATCTCGGCCTCCCAAAGTGCTGGGATTACAGGCTTGAGCCACTGCGCCCAGCCATAAACCAAATTTTTAAAGCAGGAGAAATATTCCTCTATTGAACTTATATTATAAGTTGAGATGAGCTATGAGGTTAATAAAGTTCACACCATGATGGAAAAAAAGCTCTATAAAAACTCTCAAATAAATTTCTAATTTCAGAAATCCCTCAAATAACAGAGTTGCATTTCTCAAAAAATGCTGAACCCTATTTAAGTGATATTTATTTTAAAATTCTGGTTATTATTATTAGTACAAGACTATATTGGACCATAAAGGTATTTTTGTGGATAATATTTTTTGTGTTTAAAGCAGGATTTCTCAACCTCATCACCATCAACATTTGGGTCAGATAATTTTTTGTTTCAGGGAACTATCCTGTGCCTTGTAGAATGTTGAGCAGCATCCCTGAACTCTACTCTCTAAATACCATGGAACCCTAAACATACACAATTGTGAAAATGAAAAACATCTCCAGATATTACCAAATGCTCCCTTAGGGGCAAAATCATCTCCCATCAAGAATAACTGGCTTAAAGTATACAAGAATGCAATAGTTCTAATATTCACTGAGTCTAATAATCTAACATGGAGCTACATACTCAATTCACCAAATATTAAGTAAACCTCTGGCATATTGAAGGCATTGTGGATGTTTGCAATGGTGAGTATAACAATGTCTCCTGCTCAGTAGTATATAATCCAAGAGGCAGGAAGAGTCAAGTACAATAGCCCCCCTTACCTGTGGTTTCACTTTCTGCAGTTTGTTACTCATGATCAACCCTGGTCCAAAAATATTAAATGTAAAATTCCAGAAATAAACATTTCATAAATTTTAAACTGCCATTGTTCTGAATAACATGATGAAATTTCATGTTGTTCTGCTTCATCCCACTTGGGATGTGAATCATCCCTTTGTCTAGTATTTTCATACGGTATATACTACCTACTCATTAGTCACCTAGGAGCCCTCTCAATTATCAGATTAAAAAAAAAACAGTATATATAGGGTTTGATGATATCTGCAGTTTCAGGCATCCACTGGAGGTATTGGAATGTTTCACCCATAGATAAGGAGAAACTACAGTATACAAAAAACAAGAACGAAAGCAAAATATGGTAAATGACATAAACACATGCAACTTCATGAAATTAAGTAGCTGTTCATGCCTAGAAAGAGAATTGTTCACATAAAAATTGTTTAGTAATAGTAGGAATGAGATAGTTATAATAAGTGGTAAATAAGAAAGAGTTTTTAAAGAGTTACTTCCCAGATACAAGGGAATACAGGCATTGGATAAATGCCCTCAGTTCAAATGGGAGAAAGTGGCCAAAACAAAGGGACTACAGGCCCCATGCAAGTCTCAAACCCAGCAGGCCAGTTATTAAATCCTAAAACTCCAAAATAATCTCCTTTGACTCTATGCCTCATGTCCAGGGAATGCTGATGCAAGAAGAGGGCTCCTAAGACTTTGGGAAGCTCTGCCCCTGTGGCTCTGAGGGGCACAGTCCCCATGACTGCTTTAATGGACTGGCATTGAGTGTCTGCAGCTTTTCCAGGTGCCTGGTGCAAGCTGTTCATAGACCTACCATTCTGGGGTCTGGAGAATTATGCCCCTCTTCTCACAGATCCACTAGGCAGCTCCCCAGTGGGGACTCTGTGTGGGGGTTTCAACTCCACATTTCCCCTCCACACTGCCCTAGTAGAGGTTCCATCCTTGCTCCATAAGGGCTCCATCCTTTTCCCAGAGTTCTGCCTAGACATCCAAGTGTTTCCATACATCCTCTGAAATCTAGACGGAGGTTCCCAAATCTCAACTCTTGCCTTCTGCACACCTGCAGGCCCAACACCACATGGAAGCTGCCGAGGCTTGGGGCTTGCACCTTCTAAAGCAATGGCCCAAGCTGTACCTTGGTCCTTTTTATCCACTGGTGGAGCTGGAGTGGCTGGGACACAGGGTGCCATGTCCTGAGGCTGCACAGAGCAAGTGGGTCCTGGGCCTGGCCCAGGAAACCATTTTTTTCCTCTGAGCCCTCTGGGCCTGTGATAACAGAGGCTGCTGTGAAGGTCTCTGAAATTCCCTAGAGAAAATTTCCCCCATTGTCTTGGCTATTAACATTTGGTACCACTTTGCTGATGCAAATTTCTGCAGCAGGCTTGAATTTCTCCCCGAAAAAAGGTTTGACTTTTCTGCCACGTGGCTGGGCTGCAAATTTTGAAAACTTTTATGGTCTTCTTCCCTTTTAAATATAAGTTCCAGTTTCAGAAAATCCCCTTGTGCACACATGAGTGCACACTTTTAAAAACAGCCAGGTCACATCTTGAATGTTTTATTGGTTAGAAATTTCTTCTGCCAGATACCCTAAATCATCTCTCTCAAGTTCAAAGATCTCTAGGGCAGGAACAAAATGCTGCCAGTCTCTTTGCTAAAGCATAGGAAAAGTGATCTTTATTCTAGTATCCAATAAGTTTCTCATCTTCATCTGAGACCACCTCACCTTGGACTTCATCATCCATATCACTACCAGCATTTTGGGCAAAATCATTGAACAAGTTTCTAGGAAGTTCCAAAGTTTCCCACATCTTCCTGTCTTCTTCTGAGCCCTCCAAACTCTTCCAACCTCTGCCCATTACTCAGTTCCAAAGGCACTTCCACATTTTCAGTTATCTTTATAGCAGCACCCCACTCTCAGTACCAATTCTCTGCATTAGTCCTAGTAGCATTAGGTAGTGCTATAAAACACTACCTAAGACTGGGTAATTTATGAAGAAAAGAGGTTTAATTGACTCACAGTTCTGCAGGCTTAGCAGGAAGCATGACTGGAAGGCTTCATGAAACTGACAATTAGGGCAGAAGGAGAGAGAGAGCAGGGGGAAGCACTACATACTTTTAAATGATCAGATTTTGTGAGAACTCACTCACTGTCATGAGTACAGCAAGGGGGAAATCCACCCTCATGACCCAATCGCCTCCAACCGGGTCCCTTCCTCAATTTGACCTGAGATTTGGGTGGGGACACAAATCCAAACTATATTACCAGTATAACAGATAAAATCCAGGTTGGTGGACATAGCTTTAGGTCTGCTGACCAAGTGGACAGGTTTTCCTCCACACATTTCATCCTCTACAGAGGGGAAGCAGAAGAAAACTCCTCCTCTCTGTGAAGACAGCTCTCAAAACAAAGAAGGGTGAAGCTAAGCTTAGAATGCCCACCAGCTATTATTCTGATATTTATCTATCAGGTAATTTATTCCATATTCTCAGTTAGAGAAAGTAAAGACATTGAAAGAAACCAAGAAAATCTCTCTTCATAGAAATCAGGAGTGAGGGAAAGACATACCTCTCTAACCATCATAAAGTGAACTT